GAGGTAACCCAATCACAAAAGAACACATATGGTATTCACTGACTGATTATTGGATTTTAGCCCAGAGCCTTGAAATACCCAAGATTCAACTCACAGACCACATAAAGCTCATGAAGAATGAAGAACAATTGGGGGTGCTTCGGTCCTTCTTAGTAGGAGTAACAAAATACTCAAGGGAGCAAATATGGAGACAAAGTGTAGGACAGGAACTGAAGGAGGGGCGGTCTGCAGACCATTCCACCTGGGGATCCATCCCCTGTGCAGTCATCAAAGGTAGACGCTGATGTGGATGTCAGGAAGTGCATGCTGACAGGAGCGTGACATAGCTGTCTCCTTAGAGGTCTGCAAGAGTCTGATGTATTCAGAGGAAGATGTTCACAGCTAACCATTGAACTGATCATGGGGTTCCAAATGGAGGAGTTAGAGTGAAGACTGAAGAATTGAAAGTGTTTGTGACCCCATGAGGTAACAATACCAACCAACCAGAGCCCCCAGGGTCTAAACCACCAGCCTGAGAGCACTTAGGGAGAGACCCATGGCTCCAGCTGTATATGCAAGGGAGGATGGTCCTGTCAGGTATAAATGGGAGAGGAGATCCTTGTCCCATGAATGCTGGTGTGTGGGGAATTCGAGGGTGGGGAGGTGGGAGTGGGGGGTAGGTGGGGGCACATCCTCATAGAAGCAGGAGGAGGGGGGATGGGATGGGGGTTATGAGGGGAAATGGGGTAAGGGGATAACATTTGAAATGTAAACAAAATATCCAATAAAAAAAGAGAAAAAAAGAGAAAGCTATTGGAGAGTAAAAGCAGTGAAAGCAAAAGTCAATAAATAGTATACACCTACAATCATGCCTCCAGTTTCTCCTTGAGTTCCTGACCTGACTTCCCTCTATGATGAATTCTGACTTAGAAATGTAATTAGGTAAATCCTTTTTTTCCCTTTTCGCTTTTATTCAGCACAATAGAAAGCAAACTGTTCAGGAGGTTAAAGACAGATAGAAAAACTTGAATAACATCTTGAAAACAATTCAATTCTGTATTGGGGCATCAAATCAAAGCTATGTTTGGATAATTTAATTTGATATATATAATTTTTGTATAATCCTAAGAATAATAGTTTGAAATTTTTGTATACATGAGCACGATGTGACAATATAATCTGTGGTAATCTATTAACTTTCTATTAAAACATCTCTTTAAATATCGGGGTTACCTTAGCTGTCAATATTGCTTAACAATATTGGGGATATTGAACCGGACAAGACCATCTTCTGCAGTCAGGTAGGCAACCCAATGGAGTGATAGAGATACCAACCAACTAACCCACAAAACTTTCAACCTCAAATTTATCTTATCTACCCACGTATAATAAAACAGGGTCTGAGTTTTCAAAACAGAATGTAATAATTTATTGAACTTCAATGAACTGGCTATTTATTAGATGCTATATATTTAAATTTTCTTAGAAACAGATTGAAGAAATATAAAATCTTAATTATTTAAATTTATATTTTTGGTTGTGAGCCCGCATTAAGGGTTGACCTTTTTCTCTCCATTCCTACAGAATCAACTGTCTAGGACTCAACAATTCTCAGAGGAATCATTGACATACATTACTTTACCCAAATTTGTATCCTTACAATCAAAAGACCTTATGGTATGGCCTCTAAATCCTTTAATATCACAAAGTTTCTGATATTATTAAAGTGGCATGTATATATTAAAACAAAGGAATTTTTTCTCAAAGAAGAATTATATGAAACTCTATACAATTTATGATTTTTATATATATTCTGAAAGAATATTTTATTGTTGAATTGTATCCAATCTGTGAGGATTCACAAGAATATTCCTGGAAATAATTAAGCTAAATATTTATTCTATTCTTTTTTAAGAAATGCAGGCACAGGGGATTGAGTGGATACTGAGAGAATAGCCAACCAATAACCAGCCCAACTTGAGACCCACAGGCAAGCACCAATTCCTGACACAAATATTATGCTTGTAGTCAAGAGAATGTTGTCCTCTGAGAGATTCCACTCAGCACCTGACACATACAGATAATTGATTTGTTCATACTGATTACTTCCATCCTACTTGTTCAAATATTCCTTATGTTCCAAATATATGTGTATGCATAAATATATATATATATATATCTGTGTTTTCAACTGACTCTCATAAAAATAATGTTAAAATCAATCAGTGTAATCTTACTTAACAATTTGCTTCCTAATTCTTTCACCTTGTTAGATCTTCTATTTGGAATGATATACTAAATATAAGCATTTTAAAAACTGCTTCCATAGCCAATGGATAGGCACAGCCTCTGGTGGAGGGATGGGGCCATCTACCCACCTCAAAAAATATTAATCCAGAATTCCTCCTGTCTAAAGGAAGTGCAGGGACAGAGCGAAGCAGAGACTGAAGGAAAAGTCATCCAGAGACTGCCCCACCTAAGGATCTATCCAGTCTGCAAACAACAACCCAGACACTATTGTGGATGCCATGACACACTTATTTACAGGAGCCTAGTATAGTTGTCCCCTGAAAGGCTTGACCATAGCCTGACCAATACATGTGAATGCATGCATCAAACATCAGACTGAGCACAAGGACTCCAATGGATATACTAGGATAAGGACTGAAGGAGCTGAATGGGTTTGCAACTCCATAGGAAGAACAACAATATCAACCAACCAAAACCCCCAAAACTCCCCGGGACTCAACCACCAACTAAAGAGTACACATAAGGTGGGAGGGGGGAACTATGGCTCCAGCTGGTTATGTATCAGTGGATTGCCTTACTTAGACATCACTGGGAGGGGAGCTTCTTGGACCTCTGCAAGCTCGATTTCCCAGGGTAGAAGAATGCTAGGGCACTCAGGCAGGAATAGGTGGGCAGGTAGGGGAGCACCCTCATAGAGGCAGGAGAGGGCAGAGGAGATAGGGGGTTTATGGAGAGGAAACTGGAAAGAGGGATAACATTTGAAATGTCAATAAATATAGTAACCACTAAAAAGTGGAAAAAAAAAGAACAGTAAGATTTGATCAGTTGTATCCATTCTGAGGTCATTAAAAAATTAAAAATTAAAAAAATAACTGTTTCCATGTCCATGAATGTTAAAATTAATTATAACCAAAAATCATACCTTTCCATCACCATAATCATCAGCATACATTAACAGATGTTATACAGACATGTTGAAACTTTTATATTTAGAAGAAATAAAAACTTACCAAACATATAATTGATATGAATAATCATAAGAAACTTATTGACATGAAAGCTTGTATTAAAAATTAAGAATTCTCAAGTGGTATATTCTCTCCTTACAGTAAACAATTTAAAAAGAGGAACCACACTAAATAAACAATGCAAAGTAAGTAAAGAAAAAAGAAACAGGAAAAGAAGGAATAACATAAGGAAACATCGAAATCAGAAGAATAAAAGTGGAAGAAAAAAGGTGAAATATAATCATTCAATTGCAGCTGATCAAAAAAAGGAATTCAGAAAATATAAAAAAAGGATTGAAGTATAAGGATTTCACTACATAAATATACACTGGCAAATAATAAGAAAATAAAGATACTTGACATTGTTAGTCATTAATACTTGTACAAGAACGTATGATCTCACTGAGACACACACACACACATACTCCATCTGATTCATACAGACAAGTTTTGATAATCAAACAGTAGAAATGAACACCAGTTGGTATAGTATGAAGTGAGAGGAGATGTTTTAAGAAGTGAAAATTAAAAAAAAAAAAAGTTGTGCAGGAACATGAATAAAGAGTTTTGGCAGCTCCTGAAGAATGTTAAGAATTGTAATTCAGCAATTTTCCACTGCAGTATATCCTCAATAAGATGGAAAACACACATTCACAATAACAATAAATGTACAAAGAAAATTTTACATACATCAATAAAAAACAAATTAGGAAAACAGAAATGTTCACCAAATGATGAATGCATAGAATATTGGCCATATATATAATATATAATGACCACATATTATATAATTCTACTTATATAAAACTTGAGAATGAGCATATCTATGGGGGCAAACTGTAGAATCTATGAATCTGTAGGACTATATAGCCTATAGACAGATGGAGATTATATATGGTAAATGTTCATGTCTATGTATTTCTTTTTTCATTTTAACTATAACACAAAGCAATAGAAAATAACAAATGTATTAGCTTTAAATCAAATTTTTCATAGAGGTTTAATCTGCAGGGTCATTTGTTTGTAACATTGTAAAATATTTATAACTATAGATCTCTCTTCTTATCAACATAAGCATCAATTCAAAATTTTATGACGTTTATTTTGGAAATACTGCTTAAAATGTATTTTTGCGATGTATATTTTTTGATGTGTGTTTATCCAGACCTACAATAGATAACTATATGAATTTTATTCCAATAATTCTTCAGAATATTTAAAAAACTTTTAAATAAGTTTTGTACAGTATATTCTGACACAAATTCTGAACTTTACATTAGAAATCTGTGCAGTTAAAATTATGGATTATGAATTTCCAAACACCTTTAATATAAAGCAAACTCCTAATTGTTTTATTGGAATATTATATATGGAGAAATTCCAGTTTACGTTTCTTGCCTACTTCACATGCTCCCAGTTTAACTGTGAGGATTTGCCTCTTATTTTATTTCTTAAAACAGTGTCATTAACTGACGACCTTAAAAAATAAAGTATAATTATTGCTTTATTATCATAACAGAAAATCAAAATAAAAGATCTATCAGTGTATATATTTCCCACTGAAATATTCTTTTGAAAACAACTGCAATACATTTTTTTAGACAAGAGAATCTATACTTTTTAAGTTGTCTAACAGTAAAAAAATAAATAAATAAAATAATAACCAAAAAATCATGCTGACTGTATCAGCACACCTGCTCTCAGGAACAAGTAGACCTCAGCTCTAAGAACAGAAGCACAGTTGTCATGCTGTCCTAGTCTTACCTCTGTCTTGGCAGGCTGATGAGTGGCTGCTTGTGGCACCGTTTGCTAAGGCTAAAGAGCTTGTGTACAATTCTGTGTGCCTTCAGGAAAAGCTGTTTCATGCTGTTCTCCAGTTGTTCATAGCGGCGCTGAAAATTAGAATCCATTGTCCACAAATGCATTATAGTTGAAGTGTTGAGGAAATAATTCATGGGTAGTCTTTTCATAAAGAACTTGAATTCATCTGAAAAACATAAAAATTCCACAATTTAAGTATGAAACAAGTATTTTCCCTCCAACCAAAACACATTCAATATACTTAAAAGTAAATGCTAATAGTTTAATATTTGTGACTAACAAATCATTAGAACATGAGACTTGGAAAATTTTAAGATCATTTGTTTTTCTTAAAATAGCAGTTTCATGAAAGAATATGGATATCATTTTACACAAGAACAATAGTTTGGACTGGAAATTTAAATCCAGTTTGTTGTAGATATACTTCCTGTGCAACCTGAGTACAGACTATGATGCAAAAGCAGCAGAACAGATATAAGATAGGTAAGTGACGGGCATTTGCATGAGGTTTAATGCTTGAAGGGATTATAGGTTGAAGGGACAGGTGTTATAGCTCAGAGTCTGCACAGCTCAGCACCATCAACTTTTTACTAAATTACAGTGTTTGTACGTCATTTATGTAGACACATGCAAACATAAAGTGGGATAGAAACCCACAATAGATAATAAGGAGTAAAAAAGGGGATACCAAATGTCCACAAAAGTAAATACTCCAATAAATAAGTTTCCTCCAACATGTACAAATACATGGAAAATTTGAAAACAAATAACAAAAGTAAATAAAAACTTGTATATTATAGAAGCAACCAGTCTTGTTCTAATAATTTAAGACCTTGTATAAGAGAAAAAATTATCTGGTACTCTAAAAGTAAACAAGAATGATAGCCACATAGGCCATAGGTTCTAAGGGAACCCACTATTAATATCCTGTTTGATAGATAGGGTTTTAAAATGATTCTTAATGAATCTGGGGTATGCCAATAAATCAGTAGATCTCATCTCTCATGAGAGAAGCTTCTTGAAGTGGGTGACAATTAACATGGAGACAAACATTAGCAGAACAATTAGAGAATAAGTAATCTGGGCATGCCGCAAGTGTATGTCAAATCTGCTCTTTCAAGACTCGGGGATCTTCATGGAAGACAGAGAACAATGAAGTAAACCATCTATATTCTATGAAGTATACTCATCTATATTCTAGTCATAATGCATGAAGTCACATGTATGATATAACAGAGATTATGAAAGGATGGATTACATATGTGTAAACTCAAGCCAGGCAAAATCTCTTCTGAAGTGCTATTAGCATTCAATAATTGCCAGAAAAGAAAGTGGCAGTAGATTTTTATATTTATAATGATGTGATACTTAGTATATCCTATATTCCAATGTAGATTCTATATTCAAAAGCAGCTGGGTAATAGAAAAACTGGACTTCATGATTTGAAAAAATGATACATGTCCATAGAACACACAATTCAGTGCATGATTATGTTGAAATGTATCTGAGAAGAGTATAGAGAAAGTGATCAAAATATACTTCATGAACACTTCAAAGAATTAATAAAATTATTCGAAAAAAATATTTAGAAGACAGTTTTATCACTGAAGCTCAGCCCCCTTAAATACCATGTCATTAGGGTTTTCAATCTATAGATTTTTACCTGAAGAAAAAGAAAGACTAAAAAACGGGATAATCTTTACAATACTACAAATATAATTGGAAGAAACCTTATTCAATATTTGTAACAGATATGTTTCAAATCAAGCCATATAAATATTAGATCAAAATTTTGATTTGGCTATAGTTGCAGTTTGCTTCCATATGTCTTTCTTAAGAAATTTCTCCCCTTTAAGTAAAAAATTGATGAAAACACATTGGAAAGCATTTCTTGGATAGTCACAGAACAGATGCCACTACTTTGAAAACTAATCATTCACTTCATTGTCATCTTTGACTTTGACACTTCCAGTAACACCTTATCATGTTGAAGGCATGAGTTTCTAATTGTATTCTTTTTTTTTTATCATAGTATTGGAAAAGGTTCTGAATCAGGACATTTCACTGAGGTTAAAGAACATTATAAGGTAGAATTTACTTATCTCACTGGAGTGTTTGCAATAGTGAGTTTCTGTTGAAAATTATCAGTGCATGATCTCTGTGAAGTAGTTTTAACATGACACATGAATAATTACTTCATTATGAAGTCATTAGGAACCACCATTGACAGTTACCCACAACAGTTATTGAACACCTGTTGTGCATAGAACATACAGATGTTTCAAACTATGACAGCAAGTGTGAGTAAACCTTTCATCTCATTTTAAATAGTGACTAATTAATGATATGCCTTACTTTCAATTGCTATAAAACATCTTCACTTTTTGACAGGTATTTTACCTAGAAATAAATCAAAGGATTTCTTGGAAATGTCATCAAAATATTTTTCTTTCATTTGGCATTCTTTAAAACTAATATTTATAGATTGTAAAAATGAATTTTGAATGGAACTCAGAAACTATTATAAAATCAAAATTACATAATAGAAAGATAGGACAAAATAGAAAAATAGGAATATCAGAAGACTTTTTTATCTAAATTTACAACACTATGTAGAAAATAAGACACTTTTTGCAGTTAAAGTGGTAAATACTTAATACCTAATCAGAGATAGAACTGTGGCTCAGTGTTTAAAAGCCCTGCCTGCTTTTCCACTGTGTTCAACTATTAGCACTCACATGGATTCCCACGGCCATCTATAACTCTACTTTCAAAGGACAACACATCCACCTCTGGCCTCTACAAATACTGTTATGTACATGGTGTACAGACACACAGGCAAAACACCCATATACTGAAAATAAAATGAAAAGAAATCTCAAGAACAACTAGTCATATTTTTGGCATTTTTAGATAAATTAGAAAATGAAATCTAAATGTTATGCAAAGGAACTCATGAAATAAATTTGTTTGTCAAATATATTATTGTTGAACTAAATATCTAAATTATGCATCAGCTACATAAAATTTTTCAGTTTAGTTTTGCCATTTGAAGGAGGTAAAATTTAATGGAAAGGTCATCATTAATGTCAGAATATTTCTTTGTTTAATGTGCATACTTTAATTTTTAAAAGTTCTTCAGGTTTACTATGGACTAGGAAAAATGATTTTCAAAGAGTTTCAGGCAAATGTTTGCAACCCCATAGGAAGAACAACAAAATGAACCAACTAGACCCTCCATCCCCCAGCTCCCAGGGATTAAACCAAAAACCAAAGAGTACACATGGAAGGACCTATGACTTCAACCTCATAAGTAGCAGAGAATGGCCTTGTTGGGTATCAATGGGAGGGAAAGTCCTTAATCCTGGGAAGGCTCGATGCCCCAGTGTAGGGGAGTGTGATGGTGGGGTGATGGGAGTGGGTGCATGAGAGGGGGAACACTCTCATAGAAGCAGGGGGAGGAGGGATGGGATAGGGAAGTTCTGGTGGGGGGAACCAGAAAAGGGGATTACATTTGAAATGTAAATATAAAAAATATCTATTAAAAATTGTTTTAAGGCATGTGATAAACAGTTTAATTTGTTCCATTGTTGAGTTTTCCATTACTGCCTTTCCTGGCCAATATAAATTTCTGTTAAAGTATTTTGCAACTACTGCACTAACCATTCGGAAGTCTATTTTTTTTATTGGATTATGCTGATGTTCAGTGAGACCTGCACAGGCATATGGTGGTAGAAGATTTACAATGGCAGACTTTCTCTGGAATTTTTCACCAGTTAACATAGTTAACACTTCTCTCTCACTCCTCGGTTGGGAACCCCATGATCAGTTCAATGGTTAGCTTTGAGCATCCGCCTCTGTATATTTTAGGCTCTGGCAGACCTCTAAGGAGACAGCTGTATCAGGCTCCTGTCATCCTGTCAGCATGCACTTCCTGGCACCCACATCAACGTCTGAGGGCAGGAATACCAAACAACCAGAGCTCCCAGAATCTAAACCACCAGGCTGGGAGCACATAGGGAGGGACTCATGGCTCCAGATGTATATGTAAGGGAGGATGACAGTGTCAGGCATATGTGGGTGAAGAAGTCCTTGGTCCAGTGAAGGCTGTGCTCCCCAGTGTGGGGGAAATCATGGGTCGGGAGGTGGGAGTAGGAGGGTGAGTGGAGACATATCCTCATAGAAACAGAAAGAGTGGGGATAGGATAGAGGGTTCCTGGCTAGAGAGTGGAAATGGGGAAAGGGGATTACATCTGAAATGTAAATAAAATATCCAATAAAAAAAGAAAAAAGAAAAAAGAAAAAAAAGAAAGATATATACTGGTTATCTGCAAAAACAAACAAACACACAAAAAAAAACAAAGGAAAAAATCATAGCTAACACGTCCTGCCTTTGACCTCCTGATTCTCAGATTTGTATACTTGATCTTCTACATCCTGTATGCCATAAAGTACAATACGGGCCTCAGTATGATGACAATTTGAGGGACACTAGCAAGATCTGATGTACTTAAACTCAACTCTTGCTCTTCCAATGTCAATTATATCATCAAGCCAATATGGGTCACAACAGTTTGATCATAGTAAAGATTTAAGTTCAAAAAGAAAAGGCCAGATATGTACTTGCTTAATAAAATAATACTTTCATACTCAGTACCTCATCAAAAATAAAATTAACTAACACATAACATATTACCAAAAACTCCTTAAATTGTTTTAAAATTTTGAATGGACTACTCAAGAAATATTACATTAGTCAAAGATATATGAGACTGAAGGTAGTATTTATTGGCTTGACATTATTACTATTCGGAGCAAAGCAACTCTTTCATTGAATATACTATTCTGCTCATTATAGGATGCATGATAGAATTCTTGTCTTGTTTGTTTTGAGACAGTATAACCAAACCTGGCCTAGCACTCAGTACATAGTACATGCTGATCTGAAATTTGTGAGAATCCTGCTTTAGGCTACTGATGCTGGAATTACAAGAGTAGTTTCTCATGTCTCCTGGTTCTTAACAGTCCTTCTTTTCCTCTTCCTCTTCCTCTTCCTCTTCCTCTTCTTCTCCTCCTCCTCCTCCTCTTCCTCCTCCTCCTCTTCTTCTTCTCCTCTCCTCCTCCTCCCCTTCTCCTCCTCCTCCCCTCCTCCTCCTCCTCCTTCT